AGTTTGTTAAAATTTCTATTGATTAAGTTTGAATTTAATTAACAATTAACTAAATAAGTTTAAAGAACTAAATTCCTTTTGTAAGATATAATTAAAGTAAAGAATTTAAGTAATGATTACGTAAAGAAATGCACATTTCCATAAGATAAAGGTTCAGGTTTTTATGTTAATAGAATAGTTCGAAGCTAGTCATTAGTTTTTTTTTTACAGAAAAGAACAAGTTTTTTTTTTGTAATTATTTCAGCGATACGTTTTTTTTTTATTTTTGGGGTATCTGTGGGAGTTTCTTCAGTTTTGGCTTTCTAAGTGATTAAGTTAAATTGGGTCTACAATTTACATTTTCAATAAGATAAAATCCGTTCCGAGATAGACGCTTGTCTGCTTCGAAATGGAAGTTATTTCTCAGGTTATTTCCCATTGCCTTTTGTAATAATTGGATTAAAATAGAAACACGTTTTGGGTGGACACAAATATTTAACCTACTTACACTCACAATCTATTATTTTAATTATATAAAACGCTGTAGAACCTTTGAATTACAATCGATCATAGTTGCATTCAATCATTTATTAAACAGTAACATCTATAACTTCTTTATTTGTCTTCTTCTAGAAATCTTAAAATGACAGATGTCATTAATTTAATTTATAAATCAAAATATAAAAAAAATATTTATAATAGAAAATTGCCTTATGTGCTAATATGTCAAATAACTGTCATTTTTATCAAATGTCACTTGTCATTATAAAATTTTTCTTTTTCAAATCTTAAAATGACAGATGTCATTAATTTATATTAATAAATCAAAATATATTTTTTTATCACAATAAAATGATATTTATAATAGAGCTATAAGACTTTAAGAAGTAATAGATTACTGATGTAAAATTCACTTCCTTATGAACGTTATAATGGATGGGTAAACCAGTTCTTCTTGTTGACTCGTACGATTCTTGTATCGGAAATGAAGCATTTGCTCAAGAGCAAAATCGTGTATATGTGAAGATTTTTTTTACAATCCGTTTTAAACATTGAAATATTTCTAAATAGAGTATCGAAAATCGTGTAAAAAAAATATTGACATTTCCACACTTTAATGTTAACTATTGATTTCTGTTTTGCATCATGTAGAAAAGCAAAGAAGAAATGAAGAATTTATTGAAAGGATTTTGTCACATCTAGAAGCTTTTAAAGTATTTTATAAGAAGAAGAAAAAAAGATTCTTATTTTTTCTACACTATATCTATTATATATGAAGTATTACGAATTACAATTCAACTTTTTGTACAATTGTAAGTGAATTAGTGCAATAGTACAGCGTTTCTTAATTGCCGCGTGTCCCAACATATTTGTTTGTAGTTGTACCAGAGTTTTAACCAGTTTTTAGTTTTTACTAAAAGTGACAGCTATCATTTTGCATAATTTAAGAAACGCTGCTATAGTACAACATAAGCATTTTAGAACTTGATGTATCAGTGCAATCTATTTTTAAAATAACAATCAGTAATTTTCTATACTATTGTGTCAGCGTGTCCCAACATATTTGTTTGTAGTTGCACCAGAGTTTTAAACAGTTTTTAGTTTTGACAAAAGGTGACAGCTGTCATTTTGCATAATTTAAGAAACGCTGCTATAGTACAACACATTTTTTGAGCTTGATGTATCAGTGCAATTTATTTCTGAAATAACAATCAGTGTTTTTCTATACTATAGTACAGCGTTTCTTATTTTTTTTCCCCATGTTCCAACATATGTCTTTGTAGTTGCAACCCAATGGACAAATGTTTTTACCAGTTCTTTGTTTTGACAAAAAGTGACAGCTGTCATTTTGCATAATTTAAGCTGCTAAGTCAAGTACAAGTGTATGTGTTGTAAGAAGATGATCATTTTTGTACAGTAAACTTGATTACAAATTAGTTTACGTAAAAAGTAATTAGCGTTTTCCCAATGTACTATATGAATACAATATGTTGAAATTAAAGATAGATTGCAACTATAAATTAGTTGGGCGAAAGACACAAAGAAAGAAACAAAAAGAGTGAAAGAGATCATCATCACATGGGAGTTGTGCGTGTAGGCACACTTTTGATATTTACCCCCCGAGAAGTGCCTCCGCCGATCCCCGCCGGGCCCCACCGTTGTGGTGGAGCCCCGGAGTGCCGGGACCACGGCTGTGATTACAGATTGCTCCGGTTAATACGCCGAGGAATGCAGTCCGTCATGTTTTCTTTCTATAAGAAAACTCGACGCAACGCAACACCACTACCTCGGCCTCTCATACACACTCACACACATCTATCTATATACATTCATACACACGTACACTTGTACAGCACAAACGTAAAATGAAATCCCGCGAGACCGAAACGTCGTGTATTAAATCCGTTGAATTATTGCTCCTTCCACCTGAATCCAGTACAGATTTCGAAGGCGACGTACATCATTCCACGTAATTGCTATTAAATCACGAAACATTGGCTAATTGGGAACGCTTCGGCTTTTTTTAAATGTTTGTTACTTATGTGCGAAAGGAGTCTCTCTCTTTCTTGAATCAGAGGATGCGGTTGGATATAAAGGGACCTCCAGTTCTCACAGCGGCGGCAATAAATCCAAGAAGTAGAGGAGAGGTTTATTAAAAGCTTGAAACGGACGCATGCATCATACAATCTTTTTCCATCTTTTTTTTTATCCTGCTCCTTTTCGCGCATTCAGATCACTAGATGAAGAAGAGGGTGAATGAATATAGGAGGAAGGATTCGAGTCAATAGCCTAGTAGAGACCAGTTCTGTTTAAGTCCTCTACTTTATATTCCTCGAATTGTACGTACAGTTTAAACATTGCGTTAAACATGCTTTGTGCCGGAGCGACAAGTGCTGTTTGATTTCTTCAAGAATAACCGACAGTCCTTGTACCCAAGTCTACTAGTGTTTACTAACTTCAACAAACTTAAGCAAAGAACATCAAATTAATCTAACCTTTGATATCATTAGAAAAGCTTATGATTAAGATCTAGTCTAGTCTAGAATCTAGATTGTAAATTAGACTTGTTAATTACATTTGTTGACATAATTTAAATTTACCTAATTGTCAATCTTATTTTTTTATCCTAACCTCATTTTGACAAACCACATTTTATTACTAACCTAACTTAATTTTATCAAATTATGCTAACCTAACCTCATTATGTCAAATCATATTGTATTGTATTTAGTTTTAACAATAAATACATGAAAACAGTAGTTTTCACTTTACGAATTTTCGATTTACGAAAGAATGTTTCAATTGAATTCACTCGATTTGTACATTTTACGTTCTCTTTTTATGGATTTTACAAGAAACATCAAAACAAAGAAATAAGAAAACAAAAGTGAATTGAATTAGATCCTTGTCGAATTTAATTCCGTTTGCGGGAATTTCGGTTTTGCAAAACACGAAACTCCCAATGCACTCATATCCCCCCAAATGCTGACCGCATTCGCTCGTTGGCCAATAATAAATTAATAATTTTCCCATTAACTTCGTGCACGAATCGGAATTAATTACAGACACATATAACATATAAATTGCGAAACGCGCGAGCGAGCACAAGATTCTGAGGTAGAAAAAAGAAACGGACGAAAAGTGAGAGCGAGAGAAAAAAAAAGTCATATAATTTTCCACAATTTTCTTTTCTAATTACCTTTGTTTCTTTAGATGAAACCAGTATAAATCTGAAATTGGGCTGAGAAAAGACATGTAAATTGGGTATTTTCGAAGTTCTAATGGTATACTTTATAACCTCGGGTTAAAGTTACTTTTCACGTAGTCGCTTAGTGCGAGATAAGTAAACATCGAATGAATATTTATAAGGTCGAAAGCGATCATCATTTGCTAGATTAGTTTCTTATAATTAATGGTTTTCTTAACTCTTGCAACAGATTAATTTATGCCACGCATTTGGATACAAATGTATAATCGATTCCGAAAGATTTAATGATTTTTATCGAAATGGGATAATTTTATTCAAAATCTAAAAAAAAAATCTGATTCTAAATATTTTAGTCGAATTAAGTTTGATTATTGAGGAAATTTTCTATGAGTTTATAATCATTTCATAATCAAACTTGACACTAATTAATATTAAAACTTGTTATAATTGCAATTATACAAAATTGAGCAATAAATTCACGACTTTTATAGCTGCTGAAAACTATATAAAAAAAAAAATAATTTTTTAATGCAATTCAATTACGTGCGCAAAGATTAGCAGATGCTGGAAAAGCAGTTTGGAATATTAATGTGATGCTTCTCGCAAATCGGTATTAACTTGTAACTTGTTTCGCTTCCCAGTGTTTCTGTGAACGCGGATTTAGAAGAAGGAGGCTGCATTATGCATGAGATGACTGGAAGTGGAAACTTGATTAATTATGTCATTGTGATCGAAGATTCGAAGAACCGATACAAACAAAAAATAAACTGTTTTTTTCTTTTTGCTATATCGTCTAATATTCGCTTTGAATATTCAATTAATTAAATCGAAAATTAATATGGAAATTTCATGTACATTCTTATGCAAATTTAATATAAAACTTTATAATATTTCTTAATTATTAAGAGATTTTAGTAAGTTTAGTTTTTTTTTTAAATATTTTAATAATTTCTGTTTTCTAATTGAAACTTGAAGTATTTTTAGAACATTTTAACCGTCTTAATTAAATTGATCAACAAACTCTTTAATTTCTTGAATCTGGAAAAATGTACTCGTTTTGGTTGATTTACTAAAGAAAATCAAATTTTGGGAGAATATGTGAAATGGAACTGTTTTTTTTTTCTATTGTTGTTATATGCAGCCAATTATCCCTTCTTAAGTGTCATGTGTTCTATGCAGTTAAATGTGGAAGAACAAACATATTTGATTGATTTTTGTTGAAAAATTTGAATCATCTGCTCAAGAAATGTTCTTTTTTTATCAATTAAAGCCTGTGAAGTGTTGTCTAAATTTGTTTTTTTTGTTGTTTCAGGTATATTCATAGTAAAGAGAAGCCGTTTAAATGTACGGAATGTGGCAAAGGATTCTGCCAGTCTCGGACTTTGGCAGTCCACAAGATCCTGCACATGGAGGAATCGCCGCACAAGTGTCCGGTCTGCAGCAGATCCTTCAATCAACGTTCGAACCTGAAGACGCACCTGCTGACCCACACGGACCACAAACCGTACGAGTGCAACTCTTGCGGAAAGGTGTTCCGAAGGAACTGCGATCTTCGCAGACACGCTCTGACCCACGCCGTAGGAGACGTCCCAGCCGACGGTCTCGGCGATGGTTTCATACCGCCAGAATCGATGTCTCCGCGTCCGCACAGCCCCGAACGCGACGACCCCATAAGGATTTCATCCCCGATACCGGAGCGCACTCAATGCCATGAACCTTGCACTTCCTACACGATGAGACCGAACCCGGAGGAGCGTCGCATCCATTTAGAAGACGAAGATGAGGACCTCGAAGATGACCCAGAGATCGATCCAGGACAAGAGGAGCCGCCCAACTTGGAAGGAAAGGAGAAACCTAAGGAGCCGCATCATCCGCAGCTGCAGATCAGAAGGGATTTGCTACCGCCGCAGAAGCCGTCAACGATAACCAGTCCGATGGAACACCACTTCTTAGGGCCGTTCCGGAAGCGCAGATACAGCGAAGCCACGAACCTATCCATGGGTCGACACTCTCCGCCACCTGTGATGAGCATGCGTTTAACCATGCCTTCAAATCTGATGCCGCAGAGCATACCGATACCACCCAGTCCAACCATTCTCAAACCACCCGACATCCTCATCCCTAACAACTCGCAACTACTGAATCTGGCAGGTCCCAGCACGTCTAAAATCTCCTCCCTGGACGTTCCCAGCGATCTTTCCATGAAGAAAGACGACTCCATCCAGCAACCCATCCAACCTCCACCTCCACCACGTCCACCGCAAAATCCGCCAAAGAAAACTGGATTCACCATCGAGGACATCATGAGGCGGTAGTTGACAGCAACGCGCATCATCCTCCCCCCTCCCATGTTCCTCACTAACACCCCCCGTTTTAACCAATCCGTCAAAAACCAGGGTGAAATAATTAAACTAAAAAAAAAATATAAACCTGTAAATAAATAATTTGTACATACGCAACTTATTAATTATCTTCTTTTGTAAATCGTTTATTTTATTATTATTTTATTATTTTTTTTTTAATAGGAAGGGACCTTATCTCGCAATCTGTGAATATACGTACATGTAAATGAACTTAGTTTAATTAAGATCACTAATTTCATCCGCAATTAACGTTACAAAAAAAAAATTTAGCTACTTAAGTTTAATCGTTTGCAAATAATTTAAACTGTTTATATATCGAAAATAAATGAATTAAGTTTAATATGAAGATCTCAAAGGCTTTATATAAATAAACGTGTCTAGTAAATACGCGTTTTCGGTGATTCTTTCTAATTTAAATTTAAAAAAAGAGAAAAGAAGAAATTATTAAGATTATTATTATATTTGTTTACTTTTTAATTATTATCTCGATGGGTGTCATTGGTTTCTTCTTGTATACGTGTTTAAACGAATAAATATATTTTATTATATTGTAAAGAAAGTGAGCGGAAAAAAAATAACTTATACGAAAAACTTTCGTTACATAAATTGATGTAAACGAAAATAAGTTTTTATCATTTTTTTTATTTACGCGTTTTCCATTCTGCGCGAAACGGTGAAAAGTAGAGTAATTTATTTCCAATCAAATTAATTTAAGTTTATAAATATCTATATATTTTTTTTTTATTATTTTGTAATATATTATATTATTATATTTAATTTAAGTTTTTTTTTCTTTTTGTTCGTTTAATTTAGTTTGCAAATTTCTTGTTTGTTTTCTTTATCTTATTCTCTTCATCTGTTTTCTTCTATGTTTTTGTTTTGTATTCGAATCTTTCTACTACTGTAAAACGAAATGTACTTCTATTTTTTGTGATGTATTTTTTTTACAAAAAAAAAATTAATAAAGTTTAAAAATGACTTTTGGTTACATTATTTTCTAATTAATTCATTCATTTTTAATTATTTAATATTAGTCTTAACTGATTCTTACAAATTTCTTTCCAAAAACCAAGAAATAATTATATTAATTTACTAAGTTTCTTCTTCAATTCGATCATGTTTTTTCATGAACTGATATGTTTTTCTCTGTTTTAACTTATTGTTGTAATTATTTGTTAAGAATGGAGAAAATACTTCTTACAATTTGCTACAATCTTATTCAATTCAAATTAACAACAAAAGTTTTGCTTCAATTCAAAAATCAATAAAGTTTTGTTGGATTTTTGTGCCCAACAGATAATTTAACCATAATCTAAAACTTAAAAATCGTATTAAGATTAACTAAATCCTAAATATATGCTTAGGTTATTATATTCCTAGATATCTATTATTATTAGAGATTTATACGGTAAAATCAATAGAGAATGCATTTACTAACCACTAAATACCACATATTGTATGGATTTGAAAAAAAAAACATGCAAATAGGAACTAACGTTTACAAGAAGAAGGAAAACACAGTAGAGAGATGTATTCGCATAGAATTTATTCGCGGTTGCGGTTAATTTAGTTATTAATAGACATTGTAGACATATAACTCAGAATAGATACATTACTTAGTAATTCAATCTGCGCAGCAAAAACAAGTTAGAAAGGTATCAGTATTCCTTGTAATTGTCGAAATTACTAGAATTATGTAAAAAAAAATCATTGGCAGAAACTTCAGTCACTTCATTTTATTGATTTTAACATATTGATTTGTAAAATTTCCTTTTTTTATGTTCCATAATTAGAAACATTTTGAAGAGAAATTAAGTATTAATTATATTAATGAGAATTTAAATTACAAAATATCAAATTTTCTCGCTGAGGAATGTAGCGAGGATCCATATATTACTGTGGTTTCACTCATTCGGCTGTAATTCGCGTTCAAAATTGAAAAAAATACTCTCGAAAAATAAGTAGTGTTTTTACATTTTAGTGATTTTCTTGGAATCTATAATAGAATGAATTGATGCAAAAGATGTATATGAAATCTGGATGTTTGGGGAATGTAGCGAGTATTCATACATTACTGTGATTTCACTCATTCGGCTGTAATTCGCATTTAAAATTAAAAAAAATTACGTTTGAAAAACTGGCAGTGTTTTTACATTATAGTGATTTTCTTGGAAAGTATAATAGAATGAATTGATACAAGAGATGTATATGAAATCTGGATGTTTGGGAAATGTAGCGAGTATTATTGATACATTTCTGTGGTTTCGCTCAATCGGCTGTAATTCGCATTTAAAATTGAAAAAATTACGTTCTAAAAACTGGCAGTGTTTTTACATTATAGTGATTTTCTTGGAAAGTATAATAGAATTAATTGATACAAAAGATGCATATGAAATCTGGACATTTGGGGAATGTAGCGAGTAATTATACATTTCTGTGATTTCACTCATTCGGCTGTAATTCGCGTTTAAAATTGAAAAAGTAACGCTCGAAAAAAAAGCAGTGTTTTTACATTTTAGTGATTTTGTTGGAAACTATAATAGAATGAATTGATACAACAGATGCATATGAAATCTGGAATGTAGCGAGTATTCATACATTACTCATTCGGCTGTAATTCGTGTTTAAATTTGAAAAAAAAAAGAAAATTTAACTCTAAAAAAATCACATTTTAGTATTAAAATTGATGTGAAAAGTTAGTATTTACGTAATTATGATCAATTAATTGAATATACAAAGACAATTTAATATGAATTTGTGATAATTCTATAAAATTCATTCATTTGTTAAAGACTAAATTTAGAATTTTCTTAAATATTATATGATTTAAGTATACAAACTTGACAGTTTGACGTATGTCAAGAAAGTGAGGTTATAATAACTACTTTGCTTACTATTTAAATCATAACTAGTAATTGTAGTGAGTATACATACATTTCTGTGATTTCACTCATTCAGCAGTAATTCGCGTTTAAAATTAAAAAAATAATGCTCGAAAAAAAGCAGTGTTTTTACATTTTAGTGATTTTCTTTGAAACTATAATAGAATGAATTGATACAAAATATGTGTATGAAATCTGGATATATAGGGAATGTTGTGAGTATTCATACATTATTGTGGTTTCACTCATTCGGCTGTAATTCGCGTTCAAATTTAAAAAAATAATAAAAATTTAACGCTAGAACAAGCACATTTTAGTATTAAAATTGATGTGAAAAGTTAGTATTTACGTAATTATGATCTATTTATTGAATATACAAAGAAAAATTAATATGAATTTGTGATAATTGTATAAAATTCATTCAATTATTAAACACTAAATTTAGAATTTTCATAAATATTGTATGATGTAAGTATACAAACTTGACAGTTTGACGTATGTCAAGAAAGTGAGGTTATAATAACTACTTTGCTTACTATGTAAAATATTAGTAATCGAAACATATTTTTTTTCTAAATTCATCAACAATTTGTTTAAATTTTTTAAAGATTATAAAATTATAACCTGAAACTTATATATTCGATTACATATTTATTTAAAATCTGTTTTTATGTTGTTGAATCATTGCGTAAATATTGAAAATAAATGTGGAAAAGATAAAAACTGGTTGACCGAAAGCGGTGTAAGTTTACACTTTTACTTTTCACTTTTATACGAATACGCGTGTGTTGAGATCGGCTTGCGTTTTCCACCTGTCCGAAAAGCTACCTTATTCCTTTATGCATGACAGAGAACAGAGTCTTCCTGCTTGGCAGGAAGCAATAAATAGCCGTTGCGATAATGACAGAGTGACATTAGCTACTGTCAAACTGATAGGTGAATGAGATGGCAGGTGGAACACGTGCCACCTTATTACGATCAGCAACAACAGCAGCAGCAGTGGAAGAGGAGAAAGGAATGGGAGGAAGGAAAACCTCACCTTATCCACCCACAAACCACCTGCCGAATTCAAATTCAACCTGTCCATTTTGGTAGGAAGGAAACACACGAACGTAAGGAAAGAAGGAAAATTTTTTCGACGGCGGCAGAAACACATTATAAAGCTAATTTGCATGCAGCCGAACCGGAGGAAACGATTACGTCGGATGCAAAGCACCTTCTGGCCGTGAAGAACGAAAAAAAAAAACACGTATAATTTGCGTTTTATTAATCAACTGCTTTTAAGGTAAGATTGAAATAAGTGTATGGGTTAATATGGCTTTTATCGCTTACCAAATGCTTCAAATTATTGTTATTTGCAGGGAAAGACTGATTTACTTGAGAATGGAAAATTATAATTGTAAAATATTTTGATTATTTCATCATCTTTTTAGATTGAATAAAGCAACACTTTAAGAAAATTCAGTATTTCAGGAAAAAAAAAATCATAACATTTTACAAAAATGATGTGAATACAGTAATACCTACAGCTTCGATCAGTCCGGATTTACTATAGTCCGGTTTCAAAACAATTTTTAAAAGAATAATACACAAATTTATACAAAGGTTTCTTCTCTGGAATTTATATTTTATTTAGTTTATCGATTAGTCCGGGGTGGTATATTGGCAGAACCGATTACACGCACTATCCGAGGTATTGCTATATTTAGTTACGTTATTAGTCCGGTTTTAAACAGTGGGGGATATTGGTGAAACCGATTACACACACTATACGAGGTATTGCTGTATTTAGTTACTTGATTAGTACGGTTTCAAATAGTGTGGTAGAACCGATTACACGTACTATGCGAGGTATCGCTGTATTTAGTTATTTGATTAGTACGGTTTCAAACAGTGCGAGATATTGGTGGAATCGATTACACGCACTAAGTATTGCTGTATTTAGTTACTTCATTAGTCCGCTTTTAAACAGTGCTAGATATTTGTGGAACCGATTACGCGCACTATGCGAGGTATTGCTGATTGTAATTATTAGATTAGTACGGTTTCAAAGAATGCGGGATATTGGTAGAACCTATTACACGCACTATGCGAGGTATTGCTGTATGTAATTACTAGATTAGTACGGTTTCAAAGAATCCGGGATATTGGTAGAACCTATTACACGGACTAAGTGAGGTATTGCTGTATTTAGTTACTCGATTAGTCCGAATTTAAACAGTGCTAGATATTAGTGCAATCAATTATACGCACTATGCGAGATATTGCTATATTTAATTACTATATTAGTACGGTATCAAACAGTGCGGGATATTATTAGATTAGTCCGGTTTTAAACAGTATTAACAAATATATTAATAACGTAAAAAAAGCAAA